TGAGTATTGTGCGCACCTGGCAAAGCCAGCAGCTTGGCAAGCTGTTCTCCCACTCCCAGCTAGGAAGCAGCTCACTTGGGGAATCATTCACACCCCAAATGCCAACGCAGAGCAGAAGGACATAAGCAGCAGTTCCTTGCTCACCTGCACAGGAGCACTGTTCTTCTGCAAGATCTCCACCACCCGGTGGAAGCCAATAGGTGCCTTCTTCTTGGTGTAGCCCAGCCAGTTCTGAAATAAGAGCAAACCCTACATCAATCCTAAAGGGCAGTTCCTCCAGCCACAGAAAAATGTTTTTCCCCAGTGCCAGCAACGTACGCCACCAGCCACCACAGGCAGCACTGGCAGAGCCCTTCATGCAGTGGCTGGGCGCAGGTTGGCTGCAAACCCTTTGGTAACAGAGCACGAGGGGAGCCCCTTTCTCTGACCTGGTTGCTGCAGCCAAGCCAGGCCCAGCAGAGGTCTTAGGCAGAGAGAGGAGGAACGGATTACAACACGCTGAAGCAGTGGTGCTGGGCTCTGCTGAAATAAAACCAGTCTGTCCAGTAACTCCAGAACAAGACAGCTATCAGTAGCAGATATCAGCACTTGGAACTGACTCCCCAGCAAGGCTTTCCACACTCACCTTGGTAGTGAAGAGGGCATCCACATCATCCCAGGCTCGCAGCTTGGCACGGGCAGCCAGGGCAGTGAGCACATACTGCTTATCAGGAATCTGCAAGGCAGAAAGCTGCAGTCAGAGCACTAGCACAGCTCAGAAGGCCTATGTGGGCTGGACAGGAACGGCGTCTGCCCCCAGCCCTGTCAGGACCCACACCAGCAGCCTGGCAAGGTGAGATGCTGCCTGAGGCCAGGGCCAGCACTGCAGAGAGCAGGAGGTGAGGATTTGCAAGTGCTGCTGCAGCCAGGGTGCACCCCAGTGAAAGCCTCCATGTGGCTCCCACTCGCCTTTCTGAGCTTCCAGAATGGCCCTGCTCAAGGAAGATGCCATGGCCCCTCCCTATCTCAGTGCCGAGCCCCTCAAACTCTTCCTACCCAGCCCCCTCACTAAATAGAGTTTGGCTGCCCGCATTTTCAGCTAGAGCTGCCACAACAGCAGGAGACTTACATACCTTAAAAGTTTTCTTCAGGTTGGTCGGGCTGCTGAATGTTCCCTAGAGAGAGCAGACAAGTCAGTGCAAACTCAGCAGGGCAGGCCACAGGAGAGGTTCAGATACCTGTTGTAAGGCATTCGCCTAGCACAAGGTGAACCTCCCCAAGTTTTTGCTGCTTTTTGCTCATGTCAGTGCCACAGGAGGAAAGAGCTGGCAGAAGAGAGCAACTATCCCACCCCATTAGCCTTCTGGTTTGGTTTCCCCTACTTAGTCAACTGGTGCACCTCCAGCACTTCCGAGAACAGTATCACACACCTCAGCCTCATGGGATTAAGGGCCCATTCTGTCTCCTCAGAGCCAGAAGTAAAAGACAGTTGTTTCTAGGAGGCAACTCCCTGACAGGCTGTCCCAGGTTGAATATCCCATCTTAGAGCACAAAAGAAAACTCCACACTGGTTTCAGATGGAAAAGGGGAGCTAGGTTCCTCTGGGTTTCTCTGAGGGATGAAATACGACCTCCCTCCCCTTCTTTCCTTAACACATCCTGGCTTAAACTGCTCCACATTATTGAGGGCTACAGAGATGAGATGTAACCCTTCTCTTCTCCCACATCCTCCTCACCTCAGCCTCTGTGTAGTGGTAGAAACAGGAATAGAAGAGGGTGGTCACTAGTGGCATGTTGAGTATTGAAGCCTTACGAGGATATTTCCGAAATATCTCTGACTGCCCAGCTGTCTCCAAGTGCCGATCATTGGCCTGCGGAAACAGGAAGATACAAAAGGGTGAACGTGAGCCAGGGCAACTACCTGACCTAGATGCGGGGTAGAGATCTGGGGAGAGTGTTGTGACAGCAATGCACAAGCACAGCCTCAGCATGCCGTGAAGTCTCGGGTCTGGTATTTCACACATGTGCCTGGCACAGCAGCTTGGACAGCAATTAAACTACACTAGCCAGGGCAGGCCGGTTAGATCCAATGTGGTATAAGTTAACGCCAGACAGAGATCTTGCAGCTAGTCCCGGTCATCTCCTGACCAGCAAGGAAAGTGTCATACCTCAATGATGATCTGTCGCTCCAACAGGGTATAATGGTCTTGGATGTGGGAGGTATCCTCAGCTGAAAATGGCAGCCTGGTCAGACGTGGAGGAAGAAGACACTGTCAGCAGCTCTTTACAATTAGAAGGATGCTCTTCTCTACCAAACATGCACCCCACAGAGAGAGATGTGGGGAACACCTCCCATTCTCCCCAGCCTGAGTGGCTAGTAGGTAGTCAAGCTCCTGCCCTGCAGCTCGCTCCAACTGTCTCTCTCCTAGACAGGCTCCAGAGAAGGAAAAATTACATGGCATCTCTCACAGAACAACCTAAAGGCAATGCTACCAATTTCCTCAAGTGCTCAGGCACCCAAACTTTCATCCTTCACAACCTGAAGGGTCAATGATCAGAAGGTCCCTGAAGCATCTTTGCCCCCAAGTAGGCAGCAAAAGCTGCTGGACTAGCAATCACCTCAAATTCTTCCTCTCTGGTCTACATTGTGTCCACAACACCCCACTCCCACTGAGGCAAAACCAACATCACCTCTGACTCTACATAAGCTGCGGCACTGGGACAGAGGTCTAATTTTCTTTACTACTGCCTTCTGTGAAGCGCTCACATCCCTCCCATGCTCTTGCATTTTTTTCTTACCCAATGCAGCCTTTCAGAAATTCCCTCCTTTTTTCTACATCCTGGATGTTCAAATGCTCCCGGTACTGGGACAGCTGGAGGGAGAGGGAAAAGAAGCACAGTCCGTTCTCAAGGATTTGGGAGATACAGGACTCCAGAGGGCAAAATCGGGATGCAAAGCTCTTGCCTGACTACCAGACACCCTGCAGCCAGCCTCCCTCTGCCCACTACACTCCCTCTTCACCGAGGAAAGGGAGTGGCTGCTCCTGGGAATACTCACAGCAACTTCCTCAGTCCTGTCTAGGAACCTGCAAAAGGGAACGAGCAAGCATTAACTTGGAGGCAGGTTCCTAGCAGCGTGCTCAGCCCTGCCACAAGGCTGGGCAAGAGCCTCACCTGAGCAGATCCAGAAGCAACTTCTGCTCACCCATCTCTTTGAGGAAATGGATCAGGTGACACAAGGCCACCTGCCGCACCTCCAGCTCCCGAAAAAAGATCTCTACAGGAAAGAGAGATATTTACAGGTGGGTAAATTAAGTTAGCACTACCAAGCCAGAGGGGGGCTGAGCACAATGCATGGAGTTGCAAGCCATTGGCAGTATTCAACAACGTTAACACATCTCAAAGCACAGTCTTGGAGGCTAGAGTACAGGAGAAGAGCCCATTCACTAGGCTGACAGCTGAATTCACAGCAGTGTGCTACCCTTATAGATTCTTTTTTATTCACCCCATCACGACTACCACCTACTACTGCTCGGGGGCCTTCGTGGGCATCACCATCCCCCCTCCCATGTTACACTTGCTGCAAAAATATTTCATGCTCAGTAAAGCAGCAATAGCCCAGAAATTCTCTTTGTGACTTGCAGCCAGTGAAACAACCAGCCCCGCTGCCCTTAATCGAAACACACTACGGAAACCCACCTACCTCTCCTTAGCGTCCGCTTCAGGAATATCAGGACCTGTGTGCACAGACAGGCAGCTCTCAGCTGACCAGATCAGTCTTCACCAGAGTTCAGACAGACAGACAGAAAACTGGTCAAGGCCTGGGGAAGCTTTTGCAAAGGGCCACTGAAGACACAGCTCTTACAGCACTGAACTGAATTCTGCTAGCCATTAGACACAGGACAAGCAGTCAGCCAGGGCCACAGCTGCCTAGATGACTGCCTAAGCTCCTAGTCTGGAGCTTAGATAAGTGAGACTAAGATTTATGAAGAAAAAACTTTCCATGAAAGATCCAAGGGCTTAAAAGACCTGGATGAGGGAAGCTCTGACACAGTCCCATTTGATGCCTGATGCTTTGGCAGCCAGATAAACTGGAGAGGCCCCTCAAATCTTCTGTGCCACAATGAGCAGATTAAACTTCAGCCTTCAAGAAGCTGCAACAAAGATCTGTAAGGCTGAAGGATGAGATTCCTTGATATTAACCTGACATGAATTCATGCCAGCAGGGATATGAAACTTCCCAGTCTTAAGCTCTGACACTTTTCAGTCCTGGTTTTAAGTAAAGAACAACCCCCATCTTGCAAGATTAGGTGGCCAACTGACTGCATTCACACAAGCACCCTCTGTGGGGTCACCCAGGAAGTCCCAGCCCTACATGGCCCCAGCCACACTCACAGTTGTAATGACATTCCCATCATGCCCTGCTACAGCTTCATCCAAGAGCACCAGCTTGTCCTGCAGAGAGCGAAATCTCTCTAGAGAGCAGACCTGGAGACAGAAGAGGTATAAGTAGGCATATGGGACGTCACACAATCCCCAGGCTGAACCAACCTCCAAGGTACTACCTATTCTTCCCCCATAAGCCCTTCAGCAACATAAATAATTGCTCTCCCAACCAACAGAGAACTACTCATTTAGCTGAAACCACGTGCCGCAGGATCCCTGGGAATCTGTCCACAGGGTCTGCAGAGCTAGGCCTCATTACTGCCCAGGCCAGGCCAGCAGACATTGTACATTCAGCACAAACACCCTTGTAACAAGGCAAAACTTCCCTGCCCACCACCAATCACCAGCCCTGACAGGAGGAGGGAACTCTGTAGGGCCCCTTCCACAGAGGAGACCAGAAGAGTAGAGTTGTCTTCCTCCCTTCTTCTTACCCCACAATTGTGACCTCTCAGCCTTTAGTTCACCTCTGCCTTTGAGGAGACATGCAGAGTAAAACCAGAAGCTCCTTGTGTACTCACTGAGGCAGCTGAGACTAAGATTCCAGCTCCACTTCTGGAACCAAGCATAACCAAGATTGCCTCTGTCTTCCTCCCTCCCTTTGCCACCAACTAAGCCCCACGGTCTTGGATTTCTTACATAAACCCAGTCCCAGGGAGCAGAAAGGGTAGAGAGGGACACAGCAGCACAGGTACCTCCTGTCAGAGCCTAGCTGAGGGCGTGACTCAAGTAAAAAGTGTAACAAAACCCTGAAGGTCTCCTGCTGCTCCTGAGCTAGCGTGATCCCAGCACTGACACCTGGCAAAGCAGCAGACAGGTAGAGCACTGTCCCTGCTAGATACTGCAAGCAACACAGATCCCCTCCCTGCTCCCGGAGTAGCAGGAGCATAGGGAAGAGTAAAGCAGTTTAGGACCACCCACCCTCCATCTCTTGCAAGCGGGTGGGAGTGGAAAGTCCTTACCTTTCCCCTCTGCATTCGCCTGACTGTATCTTTGGGGCTCCAATCACTGCTGTAATCCTGCCACAAGAAAAACAAAGAGCTCTTGAGCCTCAAGAGGCCAGATCACACCAGCAGTCCCCAAGCTGCTTTCCACTTGTGCTGGGTCAGAGTGATGGCCCATGTGTAGCTTCTCAGACTTATCACTCAGCTGCTCGAGGGAGGTTGTTAGTAGGGCATGTCCCTACAGCGTTCAGGTGCAGATGCTGGGCCCTCAGACTCTGCATGCTGGTGGGGAGGGAAGCTAGAGGCTCAGATGTTAACAGAGTCTTTCTATTGCCTCAGTAAGGTCTGTCATCATACCCTTTATAAGAAGTGCATTTCAACAGGTTGCCCTCCTTGCAAATTAAAGCTCCAATGTGGCTTTCAGAAGGACAAATACATGCAAAACTGACAAACACAAAACTGAGGGGGAAGGAGTCAATTTCTTGTTACAATTCAGGTGAACTTCTGCTGGTGAGCCTTCCACAGCAGTGTGGAGAACACAGGGACAACAGCCTCAGGCAAGTGCCTGGAGAGTTGCACGGGACTAGCACAGTGTGACAAAAGCACTGAAGCCTTTAGCGAAACCATCTTAAGGTAACACGCTACTGCTGCTGCAATGACCAACATTCTTCCCCTGCAGCCACTACGATCTGGAAGCACTGGACAAAAGTGGCCTGAGCTACTCCTGGACTCAGACTCCAAAAAGGCATCTAAACCTTTGTGAGGCACTCAAGCCAACAGTTGGAATTCAGCCTTTTGCCTCAGAAGAGCCAGAGAAACGGAAAGCTCTGAATTTTAAATTCATTGAAAGCCCAAATCTAAAGAAAAAAAGGGCTGACCCAGTCCTTTTAGGTGTCCGCTGCACACGAATCTCTCAAGTCAATATATAGCTGAGTGTCAAATGTTCTAAGCACCAGGGTTTCCTCCAGCACCTCTGGTCAGAGGCAGCTCCTCAGCCTGTCACTGTCAGGAAACCGGTTCAAAGCTGCCACTAACTTTCCCTTCTTTGTTCCACCCCACTTACAAAACTTCTGCCTGTTTTTAAGGGGCTGTACAACCCTTTTCCTTCCTGCTTCACTGCCTCTGCAGGCACAGAACAGAACACAATAGGGCACACTTATTTCTCCTGCTGTGCTTTCAGGAAGTGCTGCCTGTTAGGTTATGCGATTAATGGCTAATAAACATAAGCACACCAACCTGGTGAGGATCAGATGGCCAAGGACAGGTGAAGAAAACCCAGTAACCTAATCAGTGCAATCTGAGCACACTGACTTGGCCACTCCTTGCCAGCATCAAATGAGACATATTAAGCCATTAACCGCTGTGTAAAACCCTCGGAGATAAGGAAACCAAAGAAACTTTCCCCAAACACTATGCAACTCTAAAGAGGCACAGCACTTAGTATGAGATGTGGAGGAAATTGAATCCTGGAATGTTTTAAGAGGGTTGTGTAAATGTGTGAGGCTTGTGACAGAATTTTATGGCAAAGACAAAAAGCAGGAAAAGGGAGGGATCAAAATGCATTGGACAGGAACAAGCCTAGGAAAATGGAGGGAAAAGGGGCCATAGGGTGCCATCCAAGTTTAAACAAGTGGCTAGTTAGCGTGCCTGTCTGACTGAGCCCTGCAATGCAGTCTGTCTTATATTCTCATTAAATTCTATATTTAACCACCTTCTGTGTGGGTGGGCTCTCTATTCCTAGTGCTCGTACGAATGCTACTGAGCTTCAAGCTCAACCAGGCAGTGAGTAGAATAAGCAGTCTGAGTACCAGCAACTGGAATGGTGCCATGAACCCTAAGGGCTCAAGGGTCCAGGTGCCAGCAACTAGAGGAGACTGGGGGCTGGCATTCAGCTACAAAACAAACTGGATGTCTGAGACCAGCTACTGGAGAGACCCACAGAGCGTGTGTATGTTCCACAGTGGAATTCAACCTGGTCAGACAGAAAGGAGGCTCAGAATCAGGCTTGAGTGTTCTGTGTTTATGTGTCTGTTGGTAAAGGCATTGGTTTCTGCCTGCGTTAATCCGTGTGGGTAGCTGTGTTAGTATTGTGCATGTCTGTTGGGAATATGTGCTCAGTCCTGTTACTGGCTGGACCTGGGGACATGGAACCACAATCTCACACCGAGTAGGAGGAATCCAGCCAGTCCCAAAAT